TTTCTTGATTTCATTTTGGCACTAAAAAATTTAAATACCATTAGCAGTTTCTTGCCTGCATTTAATCTCGCCCCTCTCCACAGTGTCCTCTTACTCTCAGCCCTCCTCCTCTCTGGGCATCATTAAAGTTTTGACTTACCCAACGATTTTAAGCATACTTTCCCACTAAAAATGTTTTTTTGGGGGGGAAGAAAATGGTAAGTGAAGTGCGCTCAAACTGATTGCCATTCATCAAAGAGAGAGAAAAAAAATGAGAACCCGGAGAGAAAAGTGGTTTTGGAAATAAGTGATTCAAAATGATCACTCAGAAACGATCCCCCCCCCAAAAAAAAATTACGGTAGTAATTTTAGATTGGCTCTAGACATGGAAAAATATCCTTTTCTCTTCATGCCGTGGGCCTCTCGGCTTTGCTCTGCCTGGGAGAGGTGGGCTGAGAGCTGGCCCAGAGCACCTGCCTTCCTCGGCGGTTCCCTGGGCTGGCCCGGCAGGGGACAGGCTGGGCTCTCCCAGTCACCCGTGCACATTCTGGGGGTTTTGCCTTGCTATGTCCAGTCTGAACAGCAGAGCCAGGGCCACCATCCTTTACTGCACTTTCTGACTCACAGCAGCACAACGAGCAGCGTAGACCTGTCCCAGGAGGGACACCTGTGGCACCAATCACTGTATAATGATGTGCCCACCAGAAGTCAGCGGGCAGGCCTCTCTCCATGACCCTACCGAGATGGACAGACACTTGGGTGGCTTAATTTTGCCCTGGTTTTAACACCCAAGGCTCCTGCCTAGTCCTGTTGGACAGCTCTTTTCTTCTCGCAGCTCTCGCCTGTAACTCCATGTGGGGCTCCAGGCAGCCCTCCGGCAGCGGCAGGAAGCCTGTGCGGTGGACGCGCGGCCCTCTAGTTCTTCAGCCTTCCCTCTATTAATGAATGTTCACATCGATTCCTATTGTCTTTCCTACCCAACGGTCGCTGCAGTAAACAGCCTCACTCAATTTCCCAAAGAGCAATTGTGTGATCAATAGCTTAGTAATGATTTATGTCATCTTAGACGATATTACCAAATTACTTTTTGAAAGCAGGCACTGTTTTCTTTCCTCTTTCATAAATATTTTTCAGCAATGAAACTTTGCTTCAGCAAAGGTGGGGAGGCCTGATGGGGCTTTGTCACCGTTGCTGGTACATAGCAGATTCTGAAATGACAGAGGGTCTTCAACTGGCCTCTCCTAGTCCAACTGTAGCCACACTTCATGGGTAACACGGTGTCATCCATGCTGGTAACAATCAATTGTTGATGTTCAGAAACATGGGAAGTATGCGTTCCCAGGGATTTTTCTGGAAACGCAGGCAGAGGGTGGCCAGGCAGGGTCCAGTCAAGCCCTGAGGGTCAGCTCAGCCGGCTGCCCAGCAGCTTGCCTCCTGCAGCCTTTCCATTGCTGATTTAACTGGGCACTCTGCACCTCGGCTCTGCCCAGCATCTGGGACCAGAGAAGTCTTTGTTGTCTTGTGGGAGGGTCAGGAGCAGCCCCGGCTCCGCCCAGCAGTGTCCCCAGGCCCCTCCGCTTCTGGTTTCCAGCAATCCAGAGAAAGCAGCTATTTGCCTCCACAGATTTGGGGAGAAACTCCCCAAAGCCCGGTTCTCCAGGCAACTTTGGGATCTTCTGGGTCGGCCCGCAAAGGGCGCCAGCTTGGGCTGCAGTGGGAGCGAAGGTCCCTGCTGCTTTTATCTTAGGCCACAGTGGCAGGGGGGCTTCCTGAGGTGAAAGCTTCCTCATGACACCCCCAGAAAAGGCACTGTTTGCTGATCCTGCGTGGTGGGCCTGGGGCCCCTGCTTCACCTCACACCCCGGGCTTGGTTCTCTAAGCTCTGAAATGGCTGCAAAAGAGCAATTCCTCCTTCAACTCGAGTCAGCCCGGGTGGGGGGGGACGAGGGCCACGAGCGGTTTCAGGGCCAGGGACCGTGGCCGAGAGGGGAGCCCCGCGTGTCCCAGGCTCCTTGGCTGTCTCTCGGACAGGCAGGGGTTGGTTTCCACGCACTTTGAGCTACACGCAGCATGGGCTGAGAGGGGCAGGGGACCCCGCAAGGGACTGCGTGTTAGCGCGGTTTTCCAGGCGTCCTAGCTCCAGGCTGGGCTTCTCAGAGACGCCTGTCTCTGGAGCTGCCCTCGGCCCGCGGGGGACCCCTCTCCTTCAGCCCGCGGGGGGCCCCCTCTCCGTCAGCCCGCGGGGGACCCCTCTCCTTCAGCCCGCGGGGGACCCCTCTCCTTCAGCCCGCGGGGGCCCCCTCTCCGTCAGCCCGCGGGGGACCCCTCTCCGTCAGCTTCTGCTTATATTCTGCTCGGCACCGGCGCCTCATGTCTCCCATTCTTTTTGCCTGAGAGGAACAAAGCCTCCCTCCTCTGTCATTTTCAGCTAGATCCTCCCCGCCCCCCGCCAAAAGGCTTTATAAACAAATATTGTAATAGGATTGAAAACAATCCCTGCAGGTTATGAAAAAAAAAGAATCCTTTTATCGTAATGTTAGGTGGGCAATAGAAACTTGAAGATAGCTGCTTGAGTAATTTTATGAATGAATGAATCAGGCTTTTTGAGAGAAAGTCTGGCTCCAGGGCAGGTGCAGTCCCATGACCGGAGTGCCTGCGTGATTTCGCTCGTGTCAGGGCCCTGTCTTACTGTACCCCGGCGTCATCCTGCTTTATTTCATGTACTACGTTTGCTTGGGGAGTTTGGGGTGCACTTATTCACTTTCCTGTCTCTGTTCCCCCCAGTAGGAAGCCTTTTCCTGTTGGGCACTTGTGCATTGTCCGTCATCGAACCATTTCCTGGCCTTGGATACAGTTTTGGCGCCAGGCACTGGCTCTGCTCCGCAGCCCATCAACGTTTAGGCTCAGTCCCCGCGGGCTCAGAAACGGGCTCGATGGTGGAACGACGGAGCAGGCAGCCATCCACCAAGAGGCCCTTGGCAACGGGCCGCTGGCTTTCTTTGGGTAATCTAGACATTTTCATCCGTGCTGTGCGCCCTTGCCGGTGAGGTGGCTCCTGACTCCGGTCCGGGAGCAGTCTGGGCTGCTCCACTTCTTGGCTGCAGCTGCAGCTTGCCTAGACGCCCTTTTGGGTGCAGACTCATTAGCCTTCTTCCTAACGTGGAGTCTGCAGAGTCCAAATTGCGGCTTTTTTCATGGACTGGATCAGCTACAAGAAATGTCTCAAATTACTTACATGTTCTGATAATGATATTTGAGCAACACGTTTATTAGCCTTCTAATGAAGCCTCGGGTTAAGCATTCGGAAGGAGTTTTGTTACCAGAGACGTCTGTGGGCATACTCTAAGTTTCATTGTCTTATTTTTTACTTCATTTTCTTCCTAATTATTTCAGTTTCCTGTAGCCTTTTCAAGATAGCTCAATTTAAAGTTACAGTTTGGGCAGTCTCTTCCTGGCAATTATTTCTCGGGAACATTATTAAAAATGCGGCCTTTAATCAGGAGCTGGAGCGGACAGCACGGGCTGTGATGAGTGACGGTATCTCTAATAAGAATCACGCCGTCGTGCGAGCGGCTGATTCGCCGATGCCACGGAGACAGTGCAGTCTGGTGCTGGAAGACGCACGGAGTGATTCATGCGGTGTGATGCCACAGCCGGGGCGGGCTGGCACCCTGGGCTTTAAAATTTGACCAGGGCACTACTTACTTTTTGAAAAGGGCCATTCGTTTTAAACCAAGTTAGCGTCCTTCTTCAATAACCCAAATTAGTTTTACACACTTCAGTGACATTATTTGGGCATTTTTCACAATTATTGAAGATAACTCACTTTTCCCTGGAGACTCGAAGGTCAAAAGCAAATTGAATCACTGGTTTTCTTCCTTGGCTTTCTCAGATGAGTCACGAGTGATGGGTCAGACTTGCACAGAGCCTTCCTGCTCGGCTTAAAAGCCCCAACTGACGGTGGGAAGACATTTGGCCAATCTGATTATTTTCTCTATACTAATTGATTTTACTTTTTCATTGAATTCAATGAATCGCCTGGTTGTTTTGCCATTGTAGGGGACAGAGCTTAACACTCTTAGCGTGGTAAACTTTGGGACTAAAGAAACTTCTACCATTGCTATCATTTTGTACTGTTTTGTTTTCTCATGGGTCATTGTGAAAATACTTCTGGACCATCTCTGCACCTCTGCTGCCAGCCCCCGCTCCAGTCCCCCTCTCTTGGCTCCAGGAGTGCCCCGTGGCCACCTTCACTCCCATCCCACCCCCATGCTGTGGTAACACGCCCCTGCTGAGAGCTAAGCTGGACTGCTGCCTGGGGTGCTTCCTTCTCTAGGGTCTGAGTCTCGCGGACGTCCCCACGCCAGGTGCACCCACTCTTCCCCCTGCACCCCTCCTTCCAAGCCCCGCCTCCCCCAGCAAAGCAGTCAAAGAAACGCATGTGGTGATGGGTCTGTTGTACAACATGACGGCCGCAGTCAGTAATCCACGCTCAGGAGGGGTTTGACTTAGGTTCTGCGTGTCTGTGGGATTAATGGCGAAGAGAATGGAGGGGTCGAGAGCAGTAGCTGTAACCCCCACAGCGCAGCCACAGCAGCCCAGCCATGCCGTCCGCTCCACCCACATCACTTCTGTTCAGGATGGGATGTTGTTGTGCATTATTCGGGCTGCAGGGCCACATTTCTGCTCTGCCCGTCCAGAGAGCTACAGTTCACCTCACAGACTGACTGGGGAGGTGATTCTGTTGGGAAAGAAAAGCCCACGAGAAACGTGACTTTTGCATTGTATGTAATTTGAGGACTCTTCCCTTTGGGAATTGGCTTGTTCTTCCATCCTTGGCAGCAATGGGGACATTTTGTTCGAGCGAGTACGGCTTGGTTGGAGGCACTCTGAGTTCTCACTCACACTGCATGAGGTGAAGCTTAGTGGGTCCGCAGGGGGTCGTGCCAACAGGGATGCTGCGGGAAAGAGTGCTGATTTTACAAAGCTCGATGCGGAAGCATGTGCCTCCCCTCTTCCAGGTGTCAGAGCACCAGCACAGCCACCTTGTGTCACCTCGGAACAGACCCTTTGGTGTGGGGAGGAAGAGGACTGCAGACAGACCCCAAGACCGAGCTCTCCTGGCTCAAGGACTCCGAAGGTGGGCGTGGGTGACGTTGAGCAGCCTGTCGTCATCCGTGATCTGCACTCACAGACCTCTGTTTCTTCTGATTGTTGTCAAGCATGACCAAACTCATCTTGATTACTTGTTGAAGATTCACACAAAAAAGGCCACCATGCAAACGCCTCTATACATTCGGCACCAAAAGCCTGGGCAACCTTGTTTGTCAAACCACTGGGGTGACATTATTGATGCGTATAGAGCAGAGACATGTCATTTGTGAGGGAAGAATCACCCCAGGCAGAGAGGCACCCCAGACGTGTTAGAAACCAGTAAAATATGAGTCAGACCACACTTTGAAAAAAAGCTAATCTGAAAAACAAAGAAAGCCCAAAACACCCCCTTCTGTGTCTGGTAATGTAACATAGTACACCCACTTCATGAGCTCAGGACCGGCTGGCTAATTGAATGATTTTGTTTTTAACAAAGCCAGATGAAAACACATGACAAGCCCAGCAGCCTGTTTTGTACCAGCGAGCAGCATTATTCAAGTTAATGCACCAATTAGTTATTAATGGAAACTTATTGAGGACATCATATTGAAGACCACGCTTGGTACGAACCATTTAGACCTCAGGACCTTGTTTTTCTCCTGAACCACGATTCTGATCACGGTTTTTTTTTGGTACCCATTAACCTTGGTTTCCCCCCATTTATTTCGCTTTGCACTTTGTTGCAGGCTCTTTCTCCATCTGCCGGCGAGCGGAGTGACCCTCCCAACGCTGCCGTGGTGCCAGCACTGTCTCTGCAAGCTGACACCTGCCTGGCAGCAGCGTGGGACAACCTTGTGCCCCACGGTGAAGGTCTTGACCTTGGGAAGCCCGAGACTCAGCTGCTGCCCTCCCCGGACCGAGTCGCAGCAAGTCCCAAACCAGGCACTTCCTCCGACACTCCGGAGTCTTCTCCCTCTGGACCCAGCGGAGCCCTTCTTTGCCGTGACACTGCTGCTTCGGGGGCCGCCTGTGTGTCCCTGGCGGTGCGAGCAGCTCACACAACCTTGGCTAGGCATGGTGTGGAGCCACGGGGGCACAGCCGTACTGCAGGGGAGAGTGTGAAGCCAAGCACCCCGGATGGAAAAGCCCCAGCCCAAAGCATGGCACAGGCACTTTTGTCAGGGAAATGTTTGTCTGAACAAATAATGTCAGGCTCAGCTCTACTGGGGTCAGTTGGACAAACTCATCTCAAAAGATCAGCTTCAGGACCCAGTTCAACTAATTCACACCAAGAGGAAGGGAGACCCAACATATGCTTGCCTCCCAGGGGGCAGAGTGGCTGCAGGGACACAGCCACCCCTACCCCTTGCTTAGGAAGCGATGTTGGGCCATGTCAGCTGTCTGGATTAGTCACTGTGAGGGGCTGTGTGGCTCCTTCAAAGCCGGGGCAGCCTTTGGACTCTGCTGAAAGCCCTTTGAAGAGCACCCAGAAGGGGGGTTTGGAAGGCATGAGGAAGCAGACCCGAGTGGAGCTCAGTGACACCAGCAGTGACGACGAGGACCGGCTCGTCATAGAGCTCTGAGGCTTGCCGAGAGAGATGGCTGTGAATGAGTGTCGTCCGGCTGAGAAGGACAAGGTTTGATTTAGGAACCATCTTCAGATCAGGAAAGTGAGGTGGGGTTCTTTCCAAGCCGATTGCAGTAAGTGCACGCTGCGGAGGGCTTGTGAGCTCCAAGGCCCTGGAACTGTGGGAGAGCTTGAGAAAGAATTGGGGTGTGAAATGAGTGTTGGGGTGCTCCTTGTACTTTCTGGAGACAAAATTTAGATTCCTTCAAAAACTGATATTTGGTGGAAATAATTTGCCTCCTTCGTGGAAGTTGTAAATATACTTCAAAATGCCTATGTCATGACGAAATGCTGATCCTATTTTAAATGTTACACAAAGAGTCAAGTGTATTTATGGCCAAACGCCACAAGCACGCCAGGCTTTTGTGCCCAGTACCTCTGTGGTGGAGCAAAGTCTCACTGTGTGAAAAGTTAATAGAACAGCCTCTTGGAATGAGTCATATACTTTTTTTTTTTTTTTTGAGAGGGAAAAACTCACTTATTTTCCTCTGATTCTTTCTGTCATATTGTGCTCTGAGCAATTCCAATTAGAGGGTTACACTTTAGTAATTGGCACAGCTTAAAAATTGATGCCTGCTCATCGTGACGGGAGCCGTTCAGATTTTCTCCAGAAGCTTCAGGGATACAAAAACTAATTGGAGTTTTGACACTGTTTTACATCTCAGTAATTTCATTTTGGGGGCTTGGTGATACTTCGCTGTCAAATCCCATCAGTCTCCGCACTGAACAAGTGAGGGCAGCACGGAGAAAGCTCACTGCGACGCAGAGCCAGTGTGCCCCTTTGCAGGGGACCACGCTGCTCTGTGCCAGCCAGCCAGCCAGCCTCGGACTTGCACTCCTCTCTCCCTCTCCGTAAGTGGCAGAGGAAGAACTTAATAGAGGTTTACATTGCTGCCTTTCGATACACTTTTATACTTGCTTTTGGTATGATTTTGTACAATTTGAAATTTACAGCGGAGCTCTCTTGGCTTAACTTGGATGTGAAGATGCTCATGTGACATCTGGCACTGCCAAGCCGAGGCAGCGGTGCGAAGCATCTGACACAGGGGACTGTGCCTTCACAAGTCCTCGCCTCTGACCAAGTAGGATCAACTTTAGGATATCCTCACGCGGATTCTCCAGTTTTAGTGTTAGCCACAGGAAACTGTCGTGCAAGACCAGCTTCCCCAGGGGTGATTTAGCCTATATCTGCAGTCATTTCAAATCACTTGTAAATAAATAGCCAAATGATTGCCAACCCAGTCAAGGAAGGCGTGAGAAGGCAGGTAAGAGGGATGTCCACTCGATGTGCATTTAAAACCAAACCAAGGAATGCAGTGACGGCGCGGTCCATGCCCCCGGACTGATGGAGTCTGTGCAGGGAAGTGGTCTGAGTCACGGAGAGAGGAGATTGAAGTCCTGACTGGGTTGAGCCAGCTGGGACATTTTGGTTCTGGCCCTTTCTGCAGTTCATTTTTCGTAAATGAGAACAGCAGTTGGACAAGGCGAATGGAGTGTGTGTCTCCAGGTCCCAGTGCTCGTGAGAGCAGATGGTCAAGCACTGATTAAGAGAAAACTGTCCTGCAGATCCTTCCTTTCTCTGTGGCTGAAGGGGTGTTGGCGAAGCCATTGAACCAAAATCACAGCTCCACACAGAAACAATATTGGGGTGCCGGTGGCAGCTGTGTCCTTGTGTGAGCCCCTGTGGCTCACAACCTAGCATGGTGGTGTATGGATTTCACTTCCCTGTGCATCTTACAGAGGAAGGCAGGAGCCACTTGGCAAACAGGCCACATGTTTGCAGATACATCTTGCTTTGCATCAACATGAATTTGTGGAAGTGACCTTTCAGTGATGTCTTAAATTAAAAAAGAAAAATGAATCTTTCATAACTCTAGAGAAGCTCATCCTAAGTAGAGATTCTTTTAGAACCAAGAAGGTTTATTATATAAAGCCACGGACCACCTCTGATTTATAAGTCATGACTTTCCAGTGGGTTTGCAGTTATTTGCAGGTCATATCAGTGGCCTGAACCCCAGTTTGGGTTCCTGCAAGAATACATCGCTCATGGCTCACTGCTCATGGCCTGCGGAGGAGAGCGCTTTGGCTCTCCCATGAGCAGCCTTGGTTGTGAAACAACCCATAAAGGTCACATGGTTTACAAGACAACCTGAACCCTCTTTGTTATAGCAACAGGCTCTCTCCTGCCGTCCTGGGGCTCCCAGGTGGGCTAACGCCCCTCTTGGCAACCAGGAGAAAAACCTATGGCTCGCTTGCCAACGGATCACCAAAACAAGGGAGCATGCTTCTCAATTCTAAGCAAGCACCAGGGGCAGAAGCACAGCGCCTGGAGCAGGTCTGACGCCCGTGCATGCTCCTGTGGCCTCTGCGGCCTCCCGAGTGTGCTCTGACCGCAGTCCTTGGCATGCGTGGGAAATGACTTGCAGTCTCTTGCCAGAAAGAATTTCCTCATGTTTATATCCATTACCTAGAACAATCACATTATTCAACTTTTTTCCACACAAAAATTTGCATTTTGGGCAAAATTTGCCTGCTGCAGCGGACTTTTACAGTTATGGAAACTCATGACTATGCCCAGCCCCTCAGGCCTGCTGTGCTGTGGTGAGAACAGGGCTGTCCCCAGCCCGTGGGCCTCCAACTGTCGGCTCTAGCATTCAGCAAGCTGCAGGTCTTTCCCTCTTTGCAGCTGTTACTGCCTTTATCACACTTGGGAGACACTTTGAAACACTACATTCCATGATAGCAAAGCACAACTTCTCCACCTTACCTTTTGGAGTTCATTACTACAGGTGTCAGGGCTAGACAGTCCTGTCAGTTGGGTTTCTGCTGGCCTGAATCTTCCCCTCTGTGCGCTGTCCAGCGTGGGCCTGTTTACGTGTCAGGCTGCGGAAGCCTAAGGCCCCTGTGCACATGACGTCACCAGTGACGGAGAAGAGCCGGGGAGGACCCTCGCCTCTGCCCCTGCCCCCAGGCGGGGCGCTTGGTATCTCATGCTGTAGTCAACTGCTCGTGACTTGCTGCTCTGTGGCTCGTTCATAACTGGGGAAGCAACTGTTGTTTCCTGGTTGGTTGTTGAAATCACTTCTTTCTTTATATGGTTAAATTATTTTGTTTTGATAGAAATAAAACTCAAAATTAAAATGTCTTGTGTGGTTTTTAGCATTTTAGCCAACCACCTCAGGTGCACCATGTCTGCCATTTTGGTATTCCATTCTACTCAATAAAATGATGACAAATTATCACTTTTTCATTGTTTTCTTTTCCCACATGCCTTTTTTTTTGTTATCACCTGCCATATTTTATAGTTTTTGATTCAGAAATAGCTCTTCAACTTCTTCAATGTTGCTAAACTTTGGAGCCACATGAGGGCACCAACCACAGTGCAACGGTGCACATTTTCCCCCAAAGAATTGATGTTTCTTGGGTATTTAATATAATTCGTCAACAGAGAAGATACTTTTAAATCAAAATTATACCTTCTCATAAGGATTGTTCACGTCATTGTCACAAGAATGAGTAGACACATTTCGCAGTCCAGCGCAACAGGAGGACATGCTTCTGTGCCTCTTGCAGTCACTTGAAGCCATAGGGGCACAGTGCATCGGGAGTACAGAAGGGACAGGTAAGCAAACTCACAGTTCTTAATAGCTCTCTTCCCAACGCATCAGCCTCTGACTAGCAGGAGCCCATTACATGCAAACATTAGTCACTCGAGAACCATCTTAATGCTTTTCTCCCACGACGCCTCATGTGGGTGTATTATTTACCTAATACTTTAAATTATCTCTGAGTTCAGGAAGTGAGTATTGCTCCAAGCAGCAGTGAAATTTCAAGTTTAATTGCTAGTTAAATATATTTTTTCAAAAACATTAGAAAACGGTAAAAACATTAACTTGTAATTTTTTTTTAACAGAAACATCACATCACTGTCATGTTCATACCACCAGAGGTCTGCCTGGGGACACCACGTTGACCTCCAGGCCACACGTGGCCAGTTTCTGTAGTTTTCCTAATTCCCACTGAATATACTTGTCTCTATTTCCTCCAAGACAGCAGAACTGGTGATCACAGTTAGACATGTAGACTTAATCAGGAAAGTCCAGCTTGCAGTTAAAGAATTCACATTCCAAATTCAAGAATTGGGGCTTTTTCAGCCTCCAGGGAAGAATTACCCAGCATCCTGTTGCATACGTGTTTCGTTGACTTGTCGGTTGGTCAGTGGATGAATGAAGGAGAAGCACTCAGCTTCTCCCTTCTGCGGAGCCACAAAGATTGCCTTTAGTTCTGCCAAAACAGCCATGTTGCCCCGTCTAAATGAATCCGGCCATGCTGACAACCATGGGGAGCAACTCTCAGGTTCCCTGTTTGGTGATAGCTTGCTGGTACTTGGACTGCGGATGCAGAAGGACTTGCTTGTGGCATCTGAAACCTTCATCTCCAGCTGTGGCCGCTGTCTGTGGAGTTGGGATTTCACGTGGTGCTAGCTGGTATTTCCCACCATGTCCTCACAGACTTTACACTTGCTTCTGGGGCAGGGCGGCTGCTGCTGGAACTGACAAAGTGTCCAACACATATCCGTTAGGAGGATTTCTTGAACCCACACGGTGCTTTCCTCTGTTTTCTGTTCTATTCTGTAGAACAGGAGGAAGGAAGGGCGGTCCACGTGAGCAGGTGCTGCCTACCGCTTTCTCATCACCCAGCCAATTGCAACTTGGAGCAGCTCACAGAACATGGCTACAGACGAGAGGATAAGCTTTCTCTGTGAGGACAGATCTGAGCCTCGTTTAACAGAGGACAACGGACCAGAGAGTATTCATATTTGGCGAGGATGATCCCGTCTCTGATGCTTACCTCCTTTGTTTTCATGGCAACAGGGCCAGGGCTTCTGCCCAGCCTGAGTGCAAAGCTGCAGCTGGCAGCACAGCTTCTGGCTAACATCGGAGTTTTTGCCAGAGCCCAACCACATTCTGCTCTGAGATGTTCTGTGGCGTTCTGCATTCTCCTGCATCCTGACTAGGAGCAGAGGGAGCAGCACGTCTTCCAAAGATGTGCTGTATCAGGGCCTGAGGATATCAATACATTTCTTTTTAAAAAAATCATTTCTAAGATGACATATTGTTAATTTATGCTACAGACAAAAGCTTAAGGTGCCATCCAATAATAAGGAGTTCCACAAGTCAAAAGTCGAAAGACCACAATTCAGTAAGCAGACAGGCAAGGCTATGAACAACAGGCAAATGACAAGATGCCAGCTTGACTCCTAGACAGTAATTTTAAAATAATCACAGATCATTAGAACTCCAGTCTTATAACATTCTTAACAATTTGTTCTACCAAGACATAAAACAAAGTTGGACAGGTATCGATGGATTTCTGATAAAATGGGAAATTACCCAGAACATCTAACGATCCAGTTCGCCCTATCCCCGAATCACGCTGGTTAATCAAAGGTCGATTGTGTTTGTTTTGCAAAAAGACAACTTTTCTCCTAAGACATTTGAACTCGAATAGACATGCACAGGGCCTGCGTGGTCTCATAATTTATGCATTTGAGCTGCTGTTTCGTGGGCGATGTGGCAGGAATCACAGACAAAGAAGACATTCACAGCAGAAAAGACAGCATGAGAAGCCCTTGGAAGACAAGCCCTTCGCTTCTCCAATTACAAGACAACCTGATGCAGAAGGAGAATAAATTAATGTAAAAACCTCCTGCACAAAGAAAGTAATGGAAAAATAAATCACAAGTAGTTATCCCTTTTGTGTTCAAAACACGTGATTTGGAGAAAATCACTGCCCGGGACTGAATGTGTTCGTCTTGTTATATTTGGCTGGTTTTAAATTCTTAGTGCAGAAACAGAGAACAAGAAAGGAAGATGTTCCCATTGGTTCAACACACATTTATTGGATATTTAGTTGCCAGGCAGTAACAACCCTTTCTGTAACATAATTTTCAATCATGGAAAAGAAATTTGTCAATGTTTCATTGCCAATTCCAGTAGTGGCCTCACGAAGGCCATTTTGTCCAGAGTGTTGTGGCTGAGTCTCCTAGCTGTGCTTCTCTGGGCTTCAGCGAATGGGCCCTAGCCTGCCGGGCTTGAGAGGGCTCAGGCTGTGTGGGAGCAGAGTCTGAAATGCAGCAGGTCAGCCTGGGCCAGGCTGTCACACTGGCAGGACGGGGAGTGGGAGGCCAGGGAGGAGCAAGCAGGGAAGGTTTGCTCCTGAGCTGTTCCTGTGCTGGAGTGTTTCTTTGAAGCTGGCTGGGTCAGACCTTTAGGCTCCCGCCTCCATCACTCATTGGATGTGGCTGCCTGGGTTACAGAGGGGCCCCATCTTGAGGAAGGCAGCTCTCTCCATGCAAACAAGGCCTGGAGCCACAGACAGCAGGAGGTAGGGCTCCCAGCGGCAGGGCCAGGATCTCTCCCCAACTGGATCCTGGCAGCATAGCCAGGACCCACTGCAGCTTCCCTCCTGCCTGCCCCACCCTCATTTCCCTCCCTACCCCCTACCCCCTTCCTTTCTTCCTCTCCTTGTTTCCTTCCATGCATCCAAATAGTATGCGTGGAACACCTGCCATCTCCAGGAACAGTCTAGCATAGAAGATGTCATGAACAAAATGAATCTCTGTTCTTGAGTTACAATTTGATAAATGCAGAAAGAGGCCATCCGGGTGGGATGAAAGCAAGTTGCTGAGAGATTGTGGAGGACCGCACTGGGACCAGAGGGCGGGGATGTCCAAGATGGAGAAGATGACCAGTCAATGGGGGGTTCCAGGGAACAGCAGTGGGGACAAAGGATGAGTGAGCCTACGGGACAAGCTCCCTGCTGGAGGATTCTGCTGGCAGAGTTAAGCAGGGTACTTCCCACTTTTCTCCCAAGCACTTCCACCTGCAGCTCCTTTAGGGATCTAGAGGAGACATTCTCCTGGGATTTGCAAGCTGGAAATTAGTTACAACTCAAATCATACATACTCTCGACTGCAAGGTTTATATTGTCCCTAAAAATGGAGGCAACTAAGCTTCAACAGCTTCATTCCACACGGCCCGAGGAGGAGCCGTTCATGGGGCAGACCCCTGGGCTTTGCCACAGCCCATTTGATCATCACTGTGGATCATCTAAGCTGTGACATGAGGGAGACACTTGGAGGGCTGGTCAACCACCCTGGTTTGAGATCCTCGTAGGGTTTGCTTCCACCCAGATGAAGACAAAGAGGAGTGCCACTGTGACGTTTGGGGGTGCTGTCTCCCTGGGTCCTCCGGGACTCACCTGGCTTGCTTAGGCTCAGACTGCAGGTGAGTTGTGCTCCGTGTTCTGGGAGTTCATTCGTGGCCACTGGGGAAGGACCTGTGCCTGTGCTGGGGCCTCCCGGAAGGCTCCAGGGTCTCACTCACCACTTTCTCCTGCTGAGTGGTGCCAGTCCCTTTCCAGGGAGACTCAGTCTGAAGGACCTGACCTTTTCGATCAGCAGCTGTGCACTTTCCCACCGAGATCGGCCAATTAGCAAACTGATTCCTGGGTCAGCGTAGGGGGTCTTTTGGTGTTTAGTCCATACAGCTGGCTAGGAGAGTTGGGGTGGATTGGGGGCAGCCCTTCAATCCGTGCTGTATTTAAAGTGCCAGCGAGCATCCTTCATCCTCTGGGCCTGGGGGCAGAAGGTGCACGTTGATCTCTAATTAAGGAGACTGTGCAGAGCCAGCCACGTGGAGCATCTGAAGCCACCGATGGCTTACAGGTCACATAAAACCTGCAGGAAACAAAGATGGGCTTGTTGTCGCAGCTGGGCTGGTACCCACCTCCGTCTGTGAAGCTGACCCAAAGCTAAATGCTTCCCAGCAGGGGGGCTTTATAAATGATCACTGTGTCCTTGCTGTGGAAACTCAATTTTCACAGGTGGCAAAGGGAGCGTGGCCGCCTCTGCCACCAGCCATTAGCAGAGCTGGAGGGGAGGCAGTTATCTGCCAGGGGGAGCCCACAGGCATGGGGCCAGGGGAGGGATGGTCACCGAATTACACCTGCCACTGGACAGATTTCATCACTGATTCATGCGGGAGAGGAAGACCCCGCAGGAGGACGGCGCCAAGACAAGCTCAGATTGTTCACCGACTTTGTAACC